TAATTGGCACACAGAAAATAATGAAATATATATTGCTACCCATTGATGAGTAGGAAAATAGCTGTTACTCATGCAAAACTCTCTACAATAAGGATCTGTTAGCTTAACATGTACTCAATATAGGCCATACTCAATATAGGCCATACTCAATATAGGCCACCTGGTACATCATTTCATACATTTCTATGGGGCTCTTCAATTCTAAAATTATATTAGAAAAATATGTAAAAATGAGAGGTTTGGAGTTTTTTTTCAGATTTTATATCACATATCTTTGATCACAAATTCTGGACATCTTTGCTTAATGCAGATTTTTCTTTCTGAGCTTAATTAGAAATAAATTGGAGTTTAAAATATAATATTTTTTATATGTTTCCTATATCAATTCAATGATATATTATTCTTGAAAAATGCATTTTGGTCCTTTTTCTCATACTAAACTATGGCAATTCAGATATCGAACTGATAGGAAAAAATGATTTTATGGAAGATCTGAATGGATTCTGGGACCTTTACATTAAATCAACTAGTTGATTACAACAATGAATTTATACTATTTTCTGTGTTAAAGAATAAAATGCCATTTTTGTTGCAATCTACTGGTAGTATTTATAATTACAATAATTAGTGAGATATCTATTAGGAAAAGTGACATTTTCAGGCCCAGAGACATTATACTGCTACTATTATTACTACTACTTACCACTAATTTTATTAAACTTGTGTACCACCTAAATCAGGGCTTTTCAACCATTTCACTGATTGTACCACTTTTAGGATATGGCAATATTTGAGTACCACCTAGCAAGGCGTCAAAAACTTGATGACCCCCCCCCAAAAAACCCCAAACCTGTTCAAAGTTGCAATTGCACTGAAATGACTTATGACCATTTTTCACACTTATAACCATTGCAGCATGCCCAGGGTCATGTGATTTATATTTGGATGCTTGGCAACTGATTCATATTTATGATGGTCACAGTGTCCCAGGGTCATGTGATCCCCTTTTGCAACCTTTTGACAAGCAAAGTCAATGGCAGGGCTGCTGGTGGTCAAGTGCTAAGGTGGGACTTCCCTCCCTCCCTCCCTCCCTCTTTCTCATGCCCATCTCCTTCTAAAGGAAAAATGTGAAAAAACCCCCCCCCCATTTTCTCTCTTCCATATATTCATCAAACAAAGAAAAGCTTCCAGAGACAGAAAAGACAAACTTCTGAGAGAACTAGCTTAAAAAGGCACATTCCCCTTTAAGAATTAGCTACTGGCTAGAAAGGAAAGTTAAGGAGCGCAGCCGGCACTTAAGGAAGAAAAAAAATGTAGTAAGTATTGGCTGCCGGCTAAGGCAGCCTCCCCAAATGGCTCCATTCATAAGTAAAGGAATGCTACAGGCAAAATCCATTCAGGAGAAAAATACTTCAAAATCCCTTGCAGCAAAACTTACAGCTAACAATAACAGAGCAATAGAAGCTGACGGGAGACCTCAGCCATCAGCCAAATAGAAATTGCCAAACACTCCTTAAGAACACAAAGCCCACATTGCACAAATCTCAGAACTTCAAAGTCACAAAAGCACATAAGAATCCTTCCACTCTCCATCTCCCTCCCTCCTCCGTGCCTCACCTCCAAGCATTGCTACCTTTTTTCATTCCGCTTGGAGGGCGACCCCTCCCCCACTGCATTTCTTGCCTATGTGCTGTTGCCAGCACAGGTGGCTGCCAAAGCAGTTGTAAGATCGGCTCATGGCCGGCCTGCTTGATCTCTCCTCTCCCCCCACCCTCCTCCTTCTTTCCCTTCGGTGCAACTAGAGCTGACTCTCCCTCCTCCCAAGGCTGCTGCTTTTTTTCTCTCTCGCTCTCCCGCCCAAACTGCCTCCTTTTATAGCCTCTCCTGTCTCCGGCCCCCTCCTCCTCCTTTCTCATGGAGGAGGGTGAGCCAGAAGTGAGCCTGGGGCCTTTGCCTCGCCCCAGCCACTCTGCAGCTCCAGAGGACTCTCTCACAGTAAGTTCTTGCCTGCACTGGCTCTTTACCTCCCCCACTACACTTGGCTAGGCAGGGCTGCGTACCACTTGCCACTCGTTAACGTACCACAAGTGGTACGCATACCATCGGTTGAAAAGCCCTGACCTAAATCAATGGCTCCAAAAAGAGATTATTAATTTTTCTAAGACTAAAAACTCCATAATCAATTTTTATAAATATCTATTATCAAATAGGCACCCCACCACACAGCAACAAAAATCACAACACCCCCCCAAGAAACCAGACCACATCTTAACAACAGCCAGCCAACCAAACAACCGAAACCAGACCATGACTCAGAGGCAACTAAATGAACAAGCACTATTTGCATCACACAGATGATACTTAAACACCAAAGACTATGGCCCAGCAGCAACAACCAGCCAATCAAACAGCCTGAAACCAAACCATGATTCAGAAACATCTGGACAAATAACACCCACACCAATTTACATCACACAAAAAGATATTTAAAGACCAGTGCTCTCAAGTTGAGCACAATTCAAAGCACACTGAAGATGTCCACCTGAATGAAGACAAAATGTTTGCAGCCAAATCGCCAAGCTCAGAGATTAAACCAACAGTCCATATCTATTATCAGTAAATCAATCTGATATGCAAATTTTAAAGCAATGGAATGGAATAAAGAATGGAAGATCATCAGTTTGTCTAAAGAATAGGAAAATATTTTTACCTTAATACAAGAAACCTCACTAGATCTTAGATTATGTCTTATACAACAAATAATACTTTAAACTTATTGGATTGCATTGAGATACTTAGACAAAAATGAGTAAGTTGTGTAGCTGGAGATGCAATTCACTAAAACACATGCAGTTTCCTAAGTTGCTATATTCTGGGAAGAACCAATTACATATAGTATTTTGACTTTGTGATAAAGTTTAATAGTTTTGGATGATGCTTTATTTTGAACAACATATGTATTACATAGAAATTGAAACTGCCAAAAATTAGTTTTTATATTGGAAACACAAATTTATGGCCCTGATTACTAGTATGTTAAAGACATGAAGTAACCTGTGACTTATGGATGAATTTAATTTTTTATTTTTTTATTTTTACCCTGCCTCCATTATTTTTATAAATAATTCAAGGTGGTGAACATACCTAATACTCCTTCCTCCTCCTATTTTCCCCACAACAACCACCTTATGAGGTTGTTGCCTAAAGATAAACTTAATATATGGATGATTCAATTAAATATGGTCAACTTTTATTGAACTGTTCTGTAAAATGTCATACATTTACTTCTACATGTGCTAAAACTGCTGGCTTTGAGTGAAAGGCAAAAAAGGTCAGAAACTAATGGTCTGACAGAATCTCATCCTGTGTCATAGAGATATGCAGCCATATAGCCCCTAAAACTTTGGGTACAGTCCTCCAAGCTTTTCAAGTACCGTATTTTTCGCTCTATAAGACACACTTTTCCCCCCCCAAAAGATGGGGGAAAATGTCTGTGCGTCTTATGGAGCAAATGCCGCCTCCCTTCCGCGCTGCCGCCGTGGCCGCGGCCTCCCGAACGGCCCGCCGCGGCCCGCCGCACCCNCTACCCGACCGCGCCGCCACCGCCTACCCGACCGCGCCACCGCCGGTTAGAATATTTTTTTTCTTTTTTTTTGTCCTCTAAAAACGATGTGCGTCTTATGGTCAGGTGCGTCTTATGGTGTGAAAAATACGGTATCTCTTTTGATTTATTAAAGGACAAAATTAAGAAATGCATACAGGATGAATCCTATTATCTGTAATTAATGTAATTTAAATTAAACATGTGTAATTTTATATTGATCAAGCTACTTTTTTTTTCTTTTCTCCATCTACTTTTTAGTCAGATATTCAAAAGTTGAGTACAGCCTTCAGCCTAAGCCTAGAAAATAGGTTGTGTGTGTCACTTCCAATGAAGATGGCCGACTGAATACATGCTCAGGGAAGGATCCTTGAAGGGTTTTTCCCTGGCATGTAGCTCTTCAATTACTAACTGAAGGGACTGGCATTTCTTCAGTTTTTATGACCCACCTGGATCAGGGAGAGTTTAAGAATTAGCCTTCAAAAGCCTCCAATACAGCTGTGCTCTGCAAGCAACCTCAGAAGCTGAGCTTCAATGCTGCTGTGTGCCAAATGCTAGGGCAGTGATGGCGAACCTTTTAGACACCGAGTGCCCAAACTGCAACCCAAAACCCACTTATTTATCACAAAGTGCCAGGGCTGCATCAGTATTGTGGTGCCCTCAGGGAGGATGTGGGGGTGTGGGGGCTTGGCTGCAGTGGTCATAGCAGACTGGGTGAGTGTGGCCGGGGCCAGGGCGGCGGGGGCCAGTCCCTTGCCATCTCCAGGGCATCCCTGGGGGCCAACACCTTTTTCACTTGGATATCACTTCTGGATTTTTTGTTTGTGATGAAAAAAAATGAAATATTGACTTTGATTTTGTCGATTAGATAGATTTGTCATTATAGAAATGGCTAGTCATATACTAATGTGTAAAAGCAAAAAGTTGAAGCTGGCGTGTTTTTATTCTGTACTGCGCTAAAGAAAGTCGGAATTAAACGCTTTTTCTTTTTCTCCTTGTATCTCACTTTTTTTTCTCTTCCCTTCTCTTTTTCCTTTCCCTAATTTCTTATTTGTATTTTTCTTTGTATTTTATATATTAAATAAATATAATAAAAATTGTACTTAAAAAAATAAAAAATAAGAAAATAGGTTGTGTAACCAACTGTCATCCTTAATGCAAATAAAAAGAAATGTATTTCACATAATGCCCTATATCTTAATTTTACCCTTCAATTATATACTGTATAATAAATCTCACTTGCTTGTATATACATGAAATAAAAGACATCTGGTTCACAAATTTATTAAGAACATTACTGATAATTTCAATGCATGAAAAAATAAGGAACATAACAGAAAAGATTATAGGAATCATCTCTGTTTAGTTTGTTAGTTCTGAATTAATGGAAAGTACTTACTTTTGGAAGAGATGCTCTGGAGCCTGAACTCTGAGTGGTCATTGTCAAAACTGTAGTTATGCCCAGTGCAACTCTGGCTGGAGCAGCATCCATGTTGATCCAGAAAGATACCCAGGACAAAATGACGATCAGCAGGCTAGGAATGTACATCTGGATTAAATAATATCCCATCTGACGCTCCAAATGAAACTTTACTTCAATGCATGTAAATTTTCCTAGAACATGAAATTGTTTTTATAAATCATGTTTGTACATTTTAATCCTATTATATCATGAGCATAAATTAACTGCCTTAGGCACATGAACAGTAAAATGTCAGATCTTATTCAATTGGATGGCCATTGTTCCTTCAATACTAATACAAGGTATATTTTGACTGACATTCTACCCTGAAGGAATCAACCCCAAGTTAGTCATTTGAGAGTTGTATATCACTTTATACAAAGATGGCTGCAATTATAACAATTGGTTCAATTTATTGATCTGTCTTGAGCATTTTTAATGTTTTGAAAATGAGGGCTTTAAAAATTAATACGCTTTATACTTTTTAAACAAAATAATAAATAAAACAGTGTATTTGAAGATTCAGACCACAAAGAGTTTGATGAGAGCATTTGTTGACAGTGGGACTTGATATAAGGGACCAGGTGTTTTTAAAAAATCTAAATAACTAAATCACTTTGGCAACTGAAATTGCTTAGTGAAATCCCTAAATGTTGTAAATAATCATCTGACCTGGTATGGAGCTGCAATGCTCAACTGCATTTATAAATTGGTATTCCTAAAAATTATTCTTTGGTTTTATCACTTTTTCTCTTTAGTATTTTTCAAATCGCAAAAGAAATTTCTGGGTACACCTAGATAGTGTTTTCTCATGCCCTGCCCCCATTGCAAGGTCTATAATAAAGATGTATATTAATAAAACCTAATTTCTCTTAATACAATTTGTTAGTTAGAAAAGGCGCTATCAGATGCCTTCTGATTCTGGGATTTCCTAGAGAATGCATGTCCTCGGGGCCCTTTGTGGCTGGATATATCCCAGTTACACATTTGAATCATGTCCTTTGAAATTCCATATCTATTGAAACCTTGAAAATGAATTGAAATTTTGGTTTTAGTATTTTTATAAGAAATTAAAGGAAACAAATTAAACTGAAAGTCATTATTGATGAGATTTGATGGATTATTTTCAAAGCTATGAAGCTACTTTCTTTCATTAAAAAACTTCTTAAATTTATATATCACCATTCAGCCAGGACTTCAAGGCAACACACAGACTATTTTCTTCTCTTAGTTTTTCCCACAACAATCGTGTAAGGTAGGCTGGGCTGGGAGAAAGTAACCAGGTCAGCTGCAACTGTACTAGAACCTATGTTTTCCAAATCCCAAACCAACAAGTTCACAACTATGTTATGTTGATGTTATTTCTTGTACACCAGACATGATGGATATATTGAATACAAACTGATTACATACAATGAGTTGTTGGAAGTTTAACTCAGGAATTCCAATGCTAATTCATATGGCTTGACCTTAATCTAGCATTTTCAAATTTTGGTCAGAAATTCTTAAGAGGGTTGGTATGACTTTAAAGATGGATCATTGTTTGTCATCAATGGATATGTTTTTCTTGGCCACATACTACTATTTGCAATTTATCAAGACATCAAGATGTCAATAGCCAAAGTATTATGCAACACTGTAAAATAAATCAATACCCAATTTGCAGCTTGACTGTTGATAAGTGTATATTGGCTCATGATTTGAATTAGTTCTTTTAAAAAGAAATTTAATTAAATCCATTTTGTTGATTCAATTATGTAATAAATGTGTATTAATTTTAATATTAATAACCAGGATTCTTTAATAAGTTTCCAATATTGCCCATAAAATTTGGAAATCATTGTTGAGTAATATAATACTTACCAGTATTGTAATGCTTTGTGCAATAACCAAGCTCCTTCTCTTCTTTCAAAATAAACTGCGGCAGAGTTAAGCCTTCTGCTACTTGTACTGGGCCATCGCTCATCCATTCAAATATCAGATCATTCATTGTATAGCCAACTAGAACAAATTATTTGTGATTAGATAATAACAGAAGGGGCGTTGTTTTACCTGAACGTCTTTTCTCAGTACGGAGATGGAGAATCCACCAATAGGTTTTCTTTGCCTGCCTGCTCTTGAGACCAAGTAGCCAAACTTGACACGCCCCCTCTTGCCAGGAGATCCAGTCTTAACAAGGGCGAAAGTGACTGAAGATGGACGAGGTGTTGGCTCTCAAACCCCTACAGTGGCCTATCTGACTATAAGGGGTGGGTGTGGATTCTCCATCTCTGTACTGAGAAAAGGCGTTCAGGTAAGACAACGCCCCTTCTCCAGTACAGGAGATGGAGAATCCACCAATGGGACATACCAAAGCCTCACTGTCCCGATGGGTGGGAAACAGATAAGGCTGGAATAGTGTCCCTGGGAACCACCTGCTGAAGGACCCTCCGCCCAAAGGAGGCGTCTGCTGAAGCAAAACGATCAATTTTGTAGTGGCGTATAAACGGGGAGGGTGAAGACCAGGTCGCAGCCCTACAAACCTCCTCGATGGATGCCTGAGTGGCCCATGCCGCAGAAGTCGCAGCGCTGTGAGTGGAATTGGCAGTGAGATGACTTGGAGCCCGCAGGGAAGAGGACTGGTACGCCTCCGCAATACAGGCCCTGATCCACCTGCCAATCATGCCAGAGGAAACCTTCTGTCCCAAAGAGGCCGGACGGAAGGAAACAAATAGGGCCTCGGACCTGCGAAAGGGCTCTGTATGCTTGATGTAGCGCCGCAACGCTCTGCGGACGTCCAGCGTATGCCACTGCCACTCCAAGTCATGGGAAGGGTTGGGGCAAAAATTAGGTAGGATGACTTCCTGAGCCCTGTGGAAGAGCGAATTTACCTTGGGCACAAATGTGGGGTCCAGACGAAGGACCACCCGATCACTGTGAAAAATGCAAAAGTCACTTCTGACCGATAGGGCGGCGAGCTCAGAGATACGTCTGGCCGATGTGACAGCTATTAAGAACGCGACCTTAAGAGATAGATTCCTTAACAAAACAGTCATTATAGGCTCGAAGGGTGGCCTAGTTAGAGCCTGAAGTACGCAAGGTAATTCCCAAGAAGGATACCTGTGCACCACGGGAGGCCTAGTGTTGCACGCACCTTTGATAAAGGCACGAATTCTGGGATGGTGAGCCAAAGGAACTGAATCCGCACAGGTAAGTAATGTGGACAAGGCAGCCACCTGTCTGCGAATGGTCACAGGGGCGAGGCCTCTATCCAGGCCATCCAAAAGGTAATCTACGATTTGAGGGATGGTTAGCTTGTGTATGATTAGTTGTCGCCTCCGACACCAATGGCAAAAATTCTTCCAGGTAGAATTATAAATGCGATTGGTCGCTGGGCGGCGGGAAGCCTGAATCATGGAAATGGCATGAGGGGAAAATAGTTCTTGGGTCATTATGCAGCGCTCAAGCACCAAACGGTTAGTTGTAACCATTGGGGTTCCGGATGTTGAAGGGACCCCTGATGTAGTGACACCCGATAAGGGGGAATCTTCAATGGAGGAAATCGGGAAAGAGTCATCAAGTCGGCAAACCACGGCCTCTGAGGCCAGTACGGTGCCACGAGGATCACATCCACCCGTTCCCGAAGTATCTTGCGGATGGTCGCCGGTATAAGGGGTAGGGGAGGGAAGGCGTAAAGCAGACCTTGTGGCCATGGAGTCCGCAAGGCGTCCGTTCCCTCCGCCCCTGGAAGGAAATAGCAGGAATAGTACCTGGGGAGTTGAGCGTTGGTCGACGACGCAAACAGGTCGAGGATCGGTCGGCTGAACCGGAGAGATATTTCGGAGAACAGGTCCGGATGTAATCCCCACTCTGATGGGTCCACCGTAGCGCGACTCAGGAAGTCTGCTTGCTGGTTGTTGACCCCCGAGATGTGTTCGGCCTTGATGGAGGCCAGATTGGACTCTGCCCAGGAACCCAGGAGCTGTGTCTCGGACATCAGAGACCTGGACCTGGTGCCCCCCTGACGGCTGACGTGGGCTTTGGATGCCACATTGTCTGTGAGGACCAGAACGTGGCGACCCCTGATCGTGTGTCTGAATTGGTGTAGAGCCAGGTGGATGGCCCTGAGCTCCAGCCAATTGATGTTGTGTCTCAAGTCTGCACGGGACCAACGGCCCTGCACAAACTGAGACTGTAGATGGGCCCCCCATCCAAACAGACTGGCGTCTGTCGTGACGGTGATGCGGTCCGGTTCCTTGAAGGGTGACCCTTTGGTCACTGCCCGTGAGAACCACCAGCGAAGAGCCCTGCGAACCTGAACCGGTACCCTGACCTGACGGCTGGATGCACTGGCATTTGCCCGTTGGAATGGCAGCAGGAACCACTGGAGGACGCGTATTGGAACCTTCCTCAACTGGGCGGCCAGCACGGCTAGGATTTTGTAAATACCCTGGGCGCAGACGAAAGACCAAAGGGGAGGGCCCTGTACTGAAAGTGTCTGCCCTTGTAGTAGAACCTCAGGAATCGACGGTGAGCTGGATGAATGGGAATGTGGAGGTAAGCCTCCGTGAGATCTATCGATGCTAGGAAATCCCCTTGTCTGATTCCTCCCAGAATGGACTGGCGAGATTGCATCTTGAACTTTTTGTAAGTGATGTAATGATTGAGATGCTTAAGGTCTAGGATTGCTCTCCACCCCCCCGAGGTCTTGGGAACCACAAAGAGGATGGAGTAGAAACCCCTGCCTCTGTGTTCTGGTGGTACTGGTTCTATCGCCTGAATCTCTAAAAGGTGTTGGATGGCCTCCTGCATAAGTCTTTGTTTTTGTAGGTCCCTGGAAACGGAACAGCGGATGAGTCGGTCCGGGGGTGTGACTTGGAACTCCAGGAACAGCCCGAACTGGATGGTTTGTAGGACCCAGTTGTCCGTGGAGGAAAGTTCCCACTGGTGGAAAAAGTGGGCTAGCCTTCCTCCGATGGGAAGGGTAGTGAAGGAGTCATTTGGACTTTCTGTATGGGCGACCCGCTCCTTGAAATGGCCGCTTATTTTGTCCTTGTTGTCTGGGCCGGAACCCTGACCTGTCGTAAGGACAGTCGTATGGCCATTCCTGTCTGGGAGTGTATGATCTGGGGGGCTGAACAGCTGTTGCACCTGCTGCCTGGTGAAAGGACTGTCTACGAAAGTAGGGAGTGGGGCGCTTGTCAGCCTTCTTGTGTAAATGAGCCATAACCTTGCGCTTGTCCTTGTTCTCCACAAGGTATGGGGCAAGGGACTCTCCAAACAAGTAGCTGCCCAGATAAGGAGCAGTTGCTAGACTCCATTTAAGTTTGGTGTCAGCCTGCCAATGCTTTAACCACAGCATCCTTCTGGCGGTAATATTAGAGGCCATAGATCTAGATGCAAAGACGGCAGACTGAAGCATTGCGTCCGCAGCGTACTCAGTCGCCGCCACCATTTTACTGAGGTCCTGGTGGGCACGCAAATCCTCGGCAGGGACCTGGCCTGAAGCTGACATAACCAAAGGAGGGTGGTTCTAACAAAAAAGGATGCGCAGCTGGCCGTTTTAATCGCCCAGGCTGCTGATTTTTCGAAACGTATGTTCCCATTTTTTGTCATCCGCTTTTAGTACCTGAGCTAAGTCCCCAGTGACCGCCGTCTGGGATACCAGAGGGGTCCATGCCTCGTCTACCTTGGGAACCTCCAGCGCATCATTAAGATCAGAGGAGGTGCTGAAGATCTTTTTGTCAATCCCGCTTACAGAAGGGAATGAGGAAGGGGATGCCCATGGTTTCTTAATCCCCTTGAGGAAGATGGAGGGGCACGGAACGTGATGTTCAGTTGCCACTGTTTCAAAAAATATCGGATTAGGACTAGTATCCGATGTGGCCTGAGGTTGAGGGAATTGATCTGATCCTATTTTTGCTGTTGCTGTGGCCTTGCGTAGGATTGAGAGAAAAAGGGCTGGATTGAAAAGGCCTCCCGAAGGGGAGAGCTCAGGAGGGAGGTCCTCTTCCTCTGACAGAATGAGATCCGGCTGCTCCTCACCCCGAGGGGAAGAATAATAGCTCATAGAAGAATGCGCAGGAGACATGGGCTCCTGGAGCATGGGGAATTCTGTAGGAGCCTCAGAAGGAGGCATAGCAGAGGTGGAAGCCCCTTGATCAGGATACTGCATGGAACACTGGTCTGAAGCTCTATCTACTACCTTTGTTAGTAAAGCCTCCAGGCGTCTGTCGGAGGAAATATCTCCCAAGTCCGGACCCCTGAGTCCTGCTGCTGTAGGAGTAAACGTGGCTTCTGGGACTGCACCCTGAGCCATCGTAGCGTGATGAGTAATTGTGGGAGGTGAACCCATGTTGACCGGTGTCCCTGGAATGGACCAGACACCTTGAGGTGAGGTTGAGGGACCTAATGGAAGATCAGGTTCCGGGGCCTCCAATTGCATCATATATACCCCGGCCTGCCTCTGTGTCCTGGAGAACTCCTTCTCCAGAGCCTGGTGCCTACGGCTGACTTGCTTCTCCACCAGCTTGGAAGGCTTCTTGAGCGTGTGCTTAGTTTTGGACTTGGACTTGCCTGCCGCCTCCTGTTCAGAGGATTTATGGCAGCCGTAACTGAAGGATGGAGTGGATTGAGGCAACGATGAGCCCTCCATCCCAGTGGAGCAGTCTCAGATAGCTGAGGTGATGCTCTGGCAGGCAAGTAACTGGCGGGAGTGGGATTGGAACAAGCAACAAGACTGTTCCCCTGACCACCCGACCAAAAAAATATATTTCTCACTGGGCTATGGTCATGGCCCTTGAGTTAGGTGCCGAAGGCACGTTAGGAACCACTCTCTGGGCTCTGCCCGGAGGCCTTAGGTGGCCAGGCAATATGCACCAGAAAACAAAAAGGCCAAATTTTCCCAATGAGGGATACAGGAAAATTGAGGCAAGGCCTGGTAGGAAAACGAATTCAAAATGGCAGCTGTGAACTTGTGAGGTAATATATATGTTTGACATTGACCTACTTAATTTACAGCGCAATGTTTAAGATGTTGGCCGTGGTAAGTAGTGAGAGAGGCTGGGAATCTGACAGGCCGCATAGGCTGAGAGCCTTTTGCTCTCAAGGCACTTGGGTTCTAGCAAACTCAGGAGAAGGCCCCAAACGATTGCAAAAGGTAGATAGAAGTGCTCCTGCCACAAAATGGCGGTCGAGGCCTTCCCTCCGCTTAAAACCACCGTAGGCTTCGGAAGAAAGTTAGCAGCCCCTGGATCAGGTTTCCAGGCGGCGCGAAGCGCTGTGCTGGAATTTGGGGCAACGATCGGCCTCGGAACAGCAAGGAGAAAAAAAAATCAATTTTGTCGGCCTTTCCAGCCTTCAAAATGGCGACCGCCGAAACTGATCTGGAGGCCTCAAAACAAAGGAGGGACTCCCAAGCCTGCAGCACCAATTTAGTTTCTGACTAAAGAAATGGGGAAGAAATGCTTTCCCAGAGCAATTCTGCCCAGTAATCTTTCCCCCCAGAGCCCTGGGAGAAAGGCAGAAAGGAAAGCTGCAGGATTTTCACCTCCCCCCCTCCCACTCCTTGAACAGTAAAATAAAGGAAAGAAATTAAACAACACTGATCCCAGTGGTAAAGGAGAATTTGGAGGAAATGCCAAATAGGATTGAGGGTAAGGGAGGACTGAGCAAATTTTGAGGATAAAGGAGAATCACCAATGGAGTTTTCTAACCTGCTATCTTGAGAGCCAAACCTGAAACGTCTTTCAAGAGCTGAGACCAAGTTAAGGCTGGATCTCCTGGCAAGAGGGGGCGTGTCAAGTTTGGCTACTTGGTCTCAAGAGCAGGCAGACAAAGAAAACCCATTGGTGGATTCTCTATCTCCTGTACTGGAGAATTGCTACAACAGGCAAATAGCAACAGTAGAAAATTATTTAATTTCTGAAAGAGAAAAGATAACTAATAGATAAATACATTCAGATTACGGTTAATGCATGGAGTGATATGACATCAATAAATCAGGAATATCTAGATTAAATTTGGGGAACATTTGACCATAAGTATATTTATAACAAAGATATTAAAGTGAAGTGGATAGGACTTTCTACATCTTTTACCCTGATATAAATTGAGACTACAATTTATAGACTACAATAGCATGGCAGCCACAAACTAAGGCACTTTTAGGTCTAATATATATTGGACAACTCTATATTGGAAAAATCTGCATTAGATAATAGCACTAGCATCTTTAAATATTACATCTGAGTGCCTCAGGAGTATCCAGGTGCTTCTATACCTATCACTTTTACTATTATTACCCCCTTCCAATTCATGCTGTTTGCCTATAGGGATACGGAGGATTGACACTGTATGTTAAATATAAAGATGCACCCCCAATGGCCTGCCTCAGAAATGTCATTCTTTATTCCATGTATTTATTCTTTGGCTTTGCATTTCAAATGTCAAATAGTCCTCCAAGTCGAAAATTTCAATTATCCAAAGATAGTTTTTATTCAGGACCTTAAGTAAGAAAACCATTTACACTATCACTAAAGAGAAAGAAATAGAGAAAGCAAACAGCTTGCTCACTGATAAACATTAACAGACAGCTCAGAATTTAGTCACCCTATCCAAAAAGGGCATATCCATTCCTCAAGGTTGAGAAATAAGATCGTTTTCCCCCAAGGTTCTCTCCAAACATATAGGGGACTGCAAATCCTGGAATTCCCAGTCACCTTCTTTGAGGGATTTGGAGAATAAAAGGTTTTACATTTAGTTCTGTCTTCTCAAAAGCCATCAGGTCTTAAGATGCCTTAATAGGTTCTATTACAAGAACAAATTAAGGCCAATAAAATTACCTTTTCCTTTTCAAAAATAGTAAAGTAAAAAAGTAATAGTAGCTGTAGTAGAGATACATATCCCTCTTCTGTTTGCTTTCTCCAGTTGTTTTCTCAGTGACATATTCTGTATATGCCAGAAGCTCTGTATTATATGAAGTGATATTAAATGGTGCATCTTGAAGAGTCAGATTATGACTGGTGTATTTTTTTAAAAAAAAATATAATATCTGACTTACAGCTTTCTAGTTGCATTGTACATGTTTGTACATCCATAGGAAAATTCTTTAAGTCCATGGGACAGGATAAAGTTAATGTTAGCCTAAAGGAATGCAAAGAAATGTAAATGTGTTTAGTAAGTATGGAATTGCTGCTAAAATGAAGTTATGACAGCTGCAGTGTCCCAGGGCCATGTGATCACCTTTTGTGACCTTCTGACAAGCAAAATCAAAGGGAAAGACAGATTCACTTAACAATGGTGTTACTAACATAAGTACTACAGTGATTCACTTAACAACTATGGCAAGAAAGGTCACATAAAATGAGGCAGAATTCATTAACAACTGTCTCACTTAGCAACAAAACTTTTGGGCTCAGTTGTGGTTGTAAGTCGAGGACTACTTGTATTATATTTGTACATGTACCATTAATTTCCCTGCTGTAAGAACTAAAAGAACATAGTGACAGCAATAAAGAAAATGACACATTTGGGATAGAAAAAATGAGGTTTTATTGCCTTTTCACCCTCTCAGATACAAATAAATTAATGAGCACAAGTATCTAATCCAAAGTATTAATCAATAATGTGATCATTTGGACCTTTAATCAAGGCTTAGTATTATAGAGTAGTAGAGTAAAAGTCTTCAAACTCTATCCTTTGGCTTTTTTTTGTAAATTCCTTTCACTTTCCTCTGATATTTTCCCATCAACAGTAGTTTGTTTTCTTTTCATGAATATTAGATGATTGAGAATTTCATTTTTAGGTAAAAGTATTTCTTATCAGAAACCCAGTGTAAACACCAAAAGCAAAGTTTTACATTTAGGCAGGAAAAACCAAATGTTTAAGTACAGATTAGGTGAGACCTGGCTCAAAAACAGCAACAGTGAGAGGGACCTTGGCGTCCTAGTGGACAATCACTTGACTATGAGCCAGCAGTGTGCAGCAGCAGCTAAAAAAGCTAATACAATCCTGGGTTGTATAAACAGAAGCATAGAATCAAGATCACGTGAGATATTAGTATCACTTTATAAAACCCTAGTAAGACTACACCTGGAATACTGCAACCAATTTTGGTCACCATACTACAAAAAAGATGTTGAGACCTTGGAAACAGTTCAGAGAAGAGCAACTAAAATGATCAAAGGCCTGGAGACTAAAACATATAAAGAATGGCTGCAGGATTAGTCTAAAAAAAGAAATAGGGGTGACATGATAGCAGTATTCCAGTATTTGAGGGGTTGCCCCAAAGAAGTGGGGGTCAAACTATTCTCCAAAGCACCAGAGGGCAAGACAAGAAATGATGGTTGGAAACTGATCAAAGAGAGAAGCAACCTGAAATTAAGGAGAAACTTCCTGAGGACAATTAACCAGTGGAACAGCTTGCCTTCAGAAATCATGGGCACTCCATCACTGGAGGTTTTTAAGAAGAGACTGGACAGTCACTTGTCTGAAATGATATAGATTCTCCTGCTCGAGCAGGGGGCTGGACAAGAAGACCTCCAAGGTCCCTTTCAGCTCTATTCTACTCTAGTAGCTCTGCCGCAACCTTGAAGTCAAACACAAGCAATCATCATTTTGCAGTTAATGTTTTTGTAGCACTATAAAAAGGAGATTACAGGGAATTTTTAATAAAATGAGAATTCAGAATGATACTTTCTTTGTTTACCAGGGGAGTTAAGACTACTTTTATCTGAAATATACATTTGTGTACTATTCTTGACCTATCTCAAGTATGACTTTTTTTCTTTGCAAGTGACTAAATCAGTCTTTTCTATCTGTTCTCATAATATCTGACCATTAACAGCTTTGTAGCTCTACAGTGAACCATTTCAATTTATTATTGTCTTTACTGAAGTATAGCACCCAGGACTCAACATGGTAATTTGAAAAAGAAAATAAAGTCTCTCTAAATAGAATGCAGCAAAACTCTTATTGCTTTCCCTCATGCCTCTGTTTCTACTCATCTACAATACTCATTTACAAACCAGACTCATAGGAATGTTTATTTTTCAAACTGTGTCATTATGCTAAGTGCTACATTGCCAAAAGAAATGTTTCACACAGTTCACAGATTACCGTAAGTCACTTCTGGTTTATGCCAGCTGAAACCACTATCTGATAGACTCTTATGTACACAGAGGTCTTCTTTGGCCTACATCCAGTAAACATTCTCAAAAATCCTATTAATCCTGATTTCCATCAGAAATTGCCAATTTTTAAAAATCTTTCCAGCCAAGAGTAATGCCATCCATAGACAAAACTACAAATACAAAGACTCTTTCTCCCATTTTTAATTAAATACGGCATCCTCATTTTTACTAGATGAAGCAATGCAACAGGATCAGGATGGATTTAAAGCAGAAGCTTTTTGGATTTAGAAGGGAAGGTGTTACTTTCAGCTGCTAAAATGTGTCACTCTTTTGTAGCATGAGAGAACTTCAATAAAGACACATCTAACAAAGTGAAAACTACAGTGCTGTAGAAGTTCTCAACAGAAGGCAACTTATTTCTCAGGGTTACAGGATTCACATATACAGAAGTAAATCCCACCGTCATATAAGTAATTAAATATATAACAAGCTCTGTATGTGCCTACAAGGCCTGCTGTCCCTACCCTACCCTACCCTATCCTACCTTACTCTACCCTCTTCCATCCCATCCCCTTCCCTCCCATCCCATCCTTGCTTTAATTCTACTGAGAGTTTCTCTGTCAATTAGCAAGTTTTATAGTGGAAAGCTTTACATTTTTAAAAAGACATTTCAAATAGCCAAGAATTTCATACAATTTTGCCTGAGGATAATTGAATTGTTTTTCTTACACTGTGCTTCCCCCCCCCAAAAAAATAGTTTCTTTGGGAGTGCTAGATCCAATGTGTTATCTTTCTTAAAAAAAACACATGCACAAAAAGACCACCTATCAATGTTATCTGGGCACAATCAATATATATGTGGGAAGGGAAGGAGAGGAACCATTCTGGCTTTGAAGAACAAGCAATAACCTTTTGGTTTTGACAATAAGCTTTGTGTTCTCACTGCTAATCTTTCCCAGGAAAATCAAAATTCTCTAAAATGCTAGGTTGGATTATAGAATAAATTTACAATCAGACTGAAGTGTTTGTGTACTGTACATACATACTGTACACAAAATGAAGTACAAATTCACATAGTGTTACAACCCATATGAAAATTTGCTGGAATTCTGAAGATTCCATATTCAGGTTATCAGCCCTGCTAAACTGACGAAGATTTTACTAGTCAAATGCACTAGAATAAATACAAACTATTTAAGGGCAGTTATTTCGGTTGGGTTTAAAAGGGACAGTGTCCTCTGTAATGTTGGCCATTGTAAATAGCTTAGTGTCAGCTGAAGTTGAAAGCTTCAGTACCACATTTCTTTGAAAATATTCTGTTGCTACTTTTAAGTGAGTTCTTCAAATTTGGATTCTTTCATCACAAAGTATTAAGAGGAACCTCGCCTTTCTTCTATGCAATTCAAGGGCGAGAAACCTTTTAGTGCTTGGGTATAGTAACATGTTGGGGAAACCTGAAACCAGCAAAAGGGAGGACAATGAAACAAAATGGGTAGCTCTAATTCTTTCTTGTTTTTTGGGAAGGGGTTATGTTTTTTTTTTAAAAAAAAAACAATCTTAACTTTATAGGAAGACTTAGATTGCCATTTTGAAATGTTTCTTACATCGAAATAGAAAACTTGCAATCAATGTTCAGCAGTATTGACTGAGGAAGCCCTTGAGGCTACTAGTGTTCTTGGATCAATCATTATGACTAATGTTCGGTATATAATCATTTCAAATCATTTACTTAAATGGAAATGGAAGAACCCTGTTGTATTAAAGAAAAATTCCAACTAGAAACTTTTGTTCTCAATTATTAAAAAAAAATATTGAAGTAAGGTAAGGCATTGCTATTTGATTACGTGATAAATAGTAAGGATTGTTTTGTTGAACTAATCAAGATAGTCTGGTTCATCTATAATGCTAAAGCACAATGAATGGACCAGTGCAATATGCTCAGCCAAAGCAAAAACAAACAAACAAAAGGAATAGCATGATGTATGATTCAGATCAATAAACATATATATAGGTTACTAAAGAAACCCATACAATATTGGCTTTTTTTCCCAGCAGGTGGTATTCATCTAATGTCTTTCTTTTCATGTTTTAAGATGTTGAATTATGTAATCTTATTACATAGTCTTATATAGATTGTTCTTTAATTCTTATTGACCAATATGGTTATTTGTATTGCATCCTGCTATGCTTTTCCAACTGCGTAGATGTAAACAGGTAATAATACATGATAGAGAATCTATATTTTTTACTTAAAAACCTAAGTACAAATGTGTAATCACATTTTTCCCGAAATATATAGAGAGCCCTGGTGGCACAGTAGTTAAAGTGCAGTATTGCAGACAAAACTCTGCCCACAGCCTGGAGTGATGGGCAGATGGGACTCAAAGTTTACACTCCTTTCAGAGGTTAGTAAAATGAGGATCCAGATTGTTGGAGAAAATATACAAATAATGCTTCTACATTGTAAATCACCCAAAGAATGCTATAAAGTGTATGGGGCAGTATATAAGCCTAAATGCTATTGCTATAGTAATCAGAACTCCTGAAACTTCCACAGTTGGTAGGCAAAAAATATTTTCCTTAAATGTCCCATCTCTATACCTTTTATGGGTGCTTACTATAGGATATTCTTATGTAGGAAGACAGCACACACACACCCCAGAGAAGGAAATATTTTGGGGAATATTTAAAAAAAGGCAGAATATTATATTTCCCCAAAGGAATACAATAATGGAGAAAGAAAATCTTAAAGGACAGAAACCAGCCCCAGTCCGTCTTACTTAATTTTGTTGTGAGTTATACAATGACAATAAAGATATTCTATTCTATTCTGTTCTATTCTCCTCCAGGCAAAGGCTAGCTCTGTAGAAATTCAGATTTGATAATCCTATTCCGAAAGGTTGGGAGCAGAAAGGCTGGAGCTGAGGGGATTAGAAAAACAAAGAGGACATGAAACATGACCTTTAGGACTTAATAGGATTAACCCACCACCTTTAGAATATCAAAGGAACA